TTTCTTTACTTTTTCAATACCACGTGTAACAATTGTATTGTCTAACAAGCATTTTTAAACTTTCACAAGAGTACAGTACTTTCACTTTTAGTTCAACTACTTACTTTTATACCTTTTTTATTATACCGGGAAGTAGCATTTATTCTTAAAAGTACATCAGTGTATAGTTTTATTATTAATACTTAATTTCATTTATTTACTTTCTTTACTATTTACTTTTTTACTGTTTCCTTTCTCGGCACTTATTCTTCAAGTAACTCAAATAAACATGATTAACTACAACTTTTTTAATGTGAAGAAAACTAAGCAAATGTGATGAGCATGTTAACATTGCGTTAAATGCTAAAATTACTTTTGCTAGCAATAAATAAATTCTAACAACCGAAACTAATAATTTTTTTGTGCCTTGATATCTCATTTATGTAGTATTATGCACAATATAAAAAATCGAAGACCTAAATAAATTTTAACCATATGATCGGGTTTTCACTTGGATGCAATATCAACCAATTGCACTAAGTAATTCACAGTTACCAAATCAACCAAATGCAACATATTGATAAACATTAGGAGTTCGATATCTAACAGAAACCGAAATAATTTTCTCTATTTCTGTGATACACACAGTGCACAGATCTTTTATTTCTCTAATAAATGCCTACAGGTGTGTACAACAGGCTGTTGGCGGCATTGTGACAAAATCATCTTGACGAGCAAGACACGCCTTTCCAGCGTAAGCGGTTAATTTTTTTAAAAGACTAGCCTTAAATATGCTAATTAATTTGTGCGGATTTAAATTCAGATTACAAAAAAAAGAACGTAATTTCTCAGAATAATTTGCTAATTCTGAAAAATATACTAAATATTATCTGAGTAAAGTGTTCCTTCTTTTTATGGCGAAGGGTCGAGTTTTTAACCCCAAAATGAAGGGGGTATTTCTTAAATACTTAACGCGAATCAAAATCTTTTAGCTCTCAATTACGAAATTCGTTGATCTTTCACGCAAAAAATATATCTATACTTAATATTTATTTAGTTAATATTTGTTTATTTAATATTTATTTATATAATATTTATTTAACTAAATAACTGTCGAAACATTTTGAAATTTTTATGTACATTATATCTATTTCTATTTATTTACCATAATCATGTATTATAGAAAAATATACTTATTGTTATTTTTTCCAAAATCATTATTAAAGCTCTTCGGTAAAAATTCCCAAACTCTTATATGTTTCCATAGAGCCAGAAACGCGGAAAATTTAACCCTTTGTTAGTAGTTTATTTGGCCATACATTTTTTCTCAGTACTTTTCTCTTGCTAGTTTAACTAAACAAATGCTGGAATACGGATTTCTAAAATATGTTCTTCATATACATGAATTTCTGAGTTAATATCATCAATTTAGACGTTTTTTCGTTTAAATTTACGCTAAAGTTATTATTAAGCATTGAAATTCAGCAAATTACTTTAAAACGGGTTATTGTTTTTTCGTTTGCTTGTTCGTATAAATTTTTCCTTTATTTAGATTTTTTTTTCCTTTTCGTTGATAAATATCTAAACAAGATCTAAACAAGAGAAAATGTCTTTACAGATAGGTCGCTTATCGTTTTATAGAGACAGGGATAATCTTTATTTTATTATATTTTTTTTTATTAAAAAATCTGTGAAAGTATACTGTCTTACTCTAATTATTTAGACACGCAGAAATGTTTTAAACTGATGATGCGAATGAGAAAATATGAATTGAGAAAATATACGAAAGTTGATAATGAAAAAAAATATTTCAGTTCTTAGTTAATCAAATGAACAATTTAAACTGAAAATATTTATTTCAGTTATTTTCTCCTAAAAATATGTTTATCAGTTATTAGTATATGCTTTTCAGTTTTATCAGTTATTTTCTCCTGAAAATGTGGCTTGCATTAAAAAAAAATTTTTACAATTTAATTATCTGTTAATTGCATTAATAAAATAATTTGTTTAGCATTAGTAGCTTTTAAAATATTCAAATTATATTTCATAAATTTTATTTGTAGGAATTCTAAAAATATTGGTTATAAACTTGTTAATTTTGTTATTGTTAATAATATTTGAACACAAAATACGTTAAACAATTTTCCTGAATATTTTTGGCAAACACAAATTTGTCATAAATCAAAACTCTTCGTGTGCACGACAAAGCAAAATTCCTCAGTTTGTTTGAATATGATAATTTCCGAGTAACAATTAAGAGATATGCTTTTTGCTTGCGTGATCACAAATCACGCATTACTTAGTAGCAAAAAAATACTTTCAAGTGATTTTCGAATTAAAAACAGCTTATTGTTTTCTGTTTCAAATTATTTTAAGCTTCGAACTATTTTCATTTACTGAGAAAAAATAGAAAATATAAAGGTTTTCTAAAAAAAATTTTCCACAATAATTAAGTTCTTCTTTGCGAATATGAAATTGGACGATACAAAATATTACTACAGGCCTAATAAATAATTGTTAGTTTTAATATTTTTTGACATTTTTGTGCCTTTTATTATGAGAGATATATGTCAATAAACGTAATTGTAAGGACTTTTGTTAATAATTTTAATTTTAGAGATGTTTGCTAGCAATTAACCTAAGTATAATTCCGGCCTTAAATGGCCTCAATTTGCACATAATTATCTCTGATTAACAGTCAACTCAGTTTTATATGCTACTATCTTCAATATCCATTAAAATTAGCGATATTAATTGGTGAGTAGAATTGTTTATTAGAAACTGAAATCAATATCATAATTTTTATTACATTAACTGTCGCTAATTATAGTTAATTACTTAAATATCAAAGGATTTCGTTAATATATTTTTTTTTTGAATAATGAAAAGTAACTTTGAATGACTTAATCTATTTATGTTTTATTAGGATCAACTTACAAGATTTTAGATATTGATTGAATCTCTAAAATGTTATCAATGAGTAAAAAAGAAATCGAAAGTTTGTATGAAATTAAAAATTGTTGCTAAAAAGATGAAATACAATTTCGTAAAATTGAATTAATGTTTTAAATGTGATTTCAATTTCAATTTATTTACTTTTTTGAATCAATGTAAAGGTTATTTGATTTTTTTTACTGGCAAAAATGCAACGAATTATTTTACAAAAGACTAAGATAAGATTTCCATCTTGTAATATTCAGGAAAAATATTCTATACAATTTATGAGCAAATAAATTTACATTCTGTGGACGAAAACATAATATAGCATTTCGAGAATATAGATTAATAAATTTATGTATTATTTTAGCTTTAATTTATTTATGTTTTCTTATGTTAACATAAAATATAAGTTTATATGTTTTCTTTTGTTATTATATTTTACTCAATGTATAAACTGTTTTTTTTCGCAAGAGATAAATTGAAATTTCTATTGCCTTAAGAGAAATATTTGTTAAAATTTATATGAAAACAAGCTTTGTGCACGAAAACATACGAAATTGCTTTTCAGGTCAATGAATTGTAAATCCAAATAAATCATTAATAATAATGATAACAAAAAAATAATAATTTTCCATTCGAAGAATTTATTCATTTTTTACACATTGGTAGCTTAAGACAGTGCCTTAAAAATTCAATAAAAATGTATTTGAAGATTAATGATTATTCACTACATAAAAATAACTAACTTTATAAAATGTCGAGAGAGAAAAAGTAGTTGTATCATTTATATTTATTTGGAATTATATATTAATTCATGAATCATAATTATGAATGTTTATATCGGTTTACAAATGCTTATATCAGTTTACAAATGTATATAATCCTTAGCATAAAAAAAAAGATTGATTATGAATGTAACATTGTTCTCTAATGAATAAATGTTAGCACAAATATAATATCAAATGGCAAGATGATATAGATATTTTATTTAACATAACTGCTTATCTATTGAGATATACAATTTATTCCCGCAAGAATTACAATAAAAACGAACATCAACCTAATATGTATGCACAATGTGCAAATTAAAAATCGGACGATCCTGAATAACTTGTGATATAGATTAGATTTTCACGCTTTAGGACTCAAACTCAATGGCTTAAGGGAGAGACCACAAATATGAGAAATAATAAGTGAATACGATATTTCAAGTTACGAATTTTATGTATCTGACATTTTAGATATTCAATTTATCAAGAACTATTCCGACTGATTTCCCGTAAATTTTGTATTTTTTCAAGTAAAATTAAATTCTTTAAAATGATACAAAAGTTGTATATAATTCAAAATTTTTTCGACCATTATTGAATAAAATAATCAAAAATAATTAATATTTTCTTAAAGTTAACTTTCGCATTTATAATTTTTCGATTCGCTTAAAAAGTTTTCGGGATACAGCGAAATACCAAAAAATTATCATTACAGTGTCCAAACTTTGAATCCTGACCAAACTATTGGGGCCATATTTCCCAGATTGCAGCTGCTCCCTATATTTTGGGGTTCAGAAATCTAAATCCGTCCAAACAATTAGCATGTTTATTCACAGGAAATATGTTTTTTTGTCTGATAATACATCGTCTGCACTTATAAATAACTTATAATATCGTCTGCACTTATAAATTAGCATAGTCACCTATCGAGCAATTAAGATTGAATCCTAGAACGTGAAAATCCGATCATTAAATCAAAAACTATTCGAAGTAATCCACTTTTTTTGGCGCATTATACTTGCAAGGTGCCTGTTGAAATTCGCAACCGACCTAACTATTGAAACAGTTTCTGCTATAGTTATAAAAAAAAACAGTCCAGTGTGATGTGAGCAATAAGATGCTTTTTGGTTCAAAAAAACTTATTTACTATGAGCCATTGCAAGAAATGGGGGAAAAAGTAAACTTTCCTTTTTGCCTCGGTTTTTTGGAGCTGTAAGCAGTCTCTTCTTTAAATTGTCACTTGTAACATGAGGGGAGAGTTACATATACATATATATATATATATNTATATATATATATATCACTTTCCCCATTGTCGAAACAAATGTTTTCATCACTCACAGCTGGAATGTATGCCAAATATATATCGGAAACTTGTATAATTTTACATCATTTCATCATTGGTTGGTGTTTAATGACAGATTCATATGCTGCCTCGAAATTCGACTTTGCTGCCATTAAATTTTGAAATTAACACTGAAGGCAAGGGTCATACAGTAGGTCAAACTCTCGGTTATGGAAATTGTATTGCGAAAAATCATGAAAAAACGTCGAAGTTAACCCGGTGGCAAAAACCACCGGCACCGACTACCAATGGGGAACGCTTACGCTATGGTCATATGGAAACAGCATGCAAATTAACTTCCCCACACCGTCCACTAGCTATCCTAAACGCTTAGCATTCTTGTACAAAAAGCAAAGAGCCGCCGTACTGACTTATGATCCATCTTGTCCTTTAAAAGTTGTAAAGGACGAAAACTGACGCAACTTGCACTTAAAATGTGTAAAAACAAAGAAACCTAATGAAATAGATTTCGTTATCATATTTTAATTAAGAAGAACTAATTAAAATATGCTAATGAAACCTTTTTAATTACATTTTGTTTGTTTTTTATTTTATTTTGTATTAAATTCTATTTTAATTTTCATAATGATGTTCTTCAAGATTTCTAGCATCTTCATAAATGGAAATTCTGTATAATGAAACTTTATCGCTTTTCTCATCAGTTGTTTCTTGGTTATCTCCTAAAATAACAAAAACATCTTAAAGTTTAAAAATCTTTTACGAAAATATCATTTTTAAGAACTTTTAGAAAAGACCTCGAAAGGAGTATTTCTAAACTTATCTTTTAGAAAAAAATAAAAATAAATAGAAAATCAATGAAATAAAATGTCTTTAATTACGACTTTTGTTTTTTATGCACGTATACTGAAACAAAATCTGATCCCATTTATTTGTGGTTTCATTTTTATACAATTGATTTTTTAAGTATTTATTTAAAGAAAATTAAATCGAAAAAATACTTAGTAAGATTAATTATGTTTATTTAGTAAAATACGAATTTTCTGTTCATTTAAAGGAATATTTTTAGGTTAAAAAAATTTCGAAACAGTGTACCATTTGCATTACTGGTACTTTAGTAAACGATGTTTAATTTTAAACTTGAACAATAATATCATTTAAACATGCACACGATTGATTTACTTATAATGTAATGCTATTCAACCTGATTATAGATGCAATAAATTTGTACGGTATTATGATTCAGTATTCACTAATGTTCGGTACAGTGCAATGATTATCTTACACAAAGCTCTAAAAAATTTTAATTATAGAATTTATTTATCTTTTGATATTATTTTTTAGACACTAAATTGTTGTTAATTAAACTTACTTGATGAAGAGTACGAAGCAACAGCATTTGCCGAAAATTCCTTTTTGGCTGTCCTCCCCTTAAACGAGAAAAAATCTTCCTCATCTAAAAAAATTTTTAAAAAAGTTTTAAAAAAAGTAAAAAATGATATTTTTTATAAATTTAATATAAATACAGCATTGCGCAATGTTAATGTAAAATAGATTTGTTTTCTGGTGTAACTAATATAAAAATAAACTCTTACATTTGAAAACGAAAGTTGCGAAGTTATTAAAATATTCGTTAAATATTAAGTTTTTAAATACTCAAGTACAGTAAACAGCACCTTTATTTTCTGTTTAAAATTTACTTACTAAGCAGTATTTCAACTTTTACTTTGAAATGTATGTTTACGAAAATTATCTAGTCAATCCTTCGAAATCTTAAGTGGACATGTTTAAATAAACTAACAGAAGCAACATAGCATCAATCCATATAAACATCATTTGTAATTGTGTACATTTGCAAATAATGCTATTTTTTATAAATTTACCTACTCAATGACTATGCCATTTATTATCAAAATTATAAAAACAACTATTCACAAGTATTTGAACCGTCTTATCATACTAGTAACGTTTTCATTCCAAGCTCTTTTTCCTACTAAACCTACGAAACTCCTGCATGAGCAAACAAACTAATGAAATCAGGCAAGTTGTGAAAAACCATAAACGCACGTGCACAACTGTCATTTGTACCGATTACTTTTCTTTCTTTTATTTTTATTTTGCATACTTGGCTACTACTTTCACTTTTAAAATTATTTTACAATTTATAAAAACTATTGAATCAAACTCGTGAAAAAAAAGTCCTATATGGACTTATGTAAGCAATCTAACGAAAACAGCCAAGTTGCCAAAACTATCAGTACATGCATAAACATTCAATTAGCACACTTTTTAATTTATTTTAATTTAGTTATTCAGTGACAATTTTTTAAGTAAATTTGCTTTACATGTTTATAAAAGCTATCAAATTAATTTCTTGTAAGCGCAATGTCTTACATAGGCAGGTGTAAGAAATCTAGAGAAAACAATAAGTAAAGTAATTTAAGCCACTTACTCTAATTATCAGGATTTTTTTTTCTATTTTAATTTACCCATACAGTGATCATTTTAAGTATAAATATATTTAGCAATTTACGAAATGTCTAACATGTAACTCTCGCTAGCATGAAATACTGCAAGAGCACGTGTAAGCAAACTACTGAAAACAGCAGCCCATATATTATGGTCATCTGTGGGGATGCATAATTAATCCTTTAGTGTGCATAAATTTCTAACAAAATATATCACATAATTTAACGTAAAATTTTGCTAATCTTGAGCCACCTTGAAACTACACTTAGGATTCGATACCAGCGTAACTTTAATTTTGCAAAGCGTTAAACAGTTACATTGGCTGTTGCATTTGAAATGTAGAATTACAACTCTTAAAAAAATCAGACTTTTTTTCCTTTTTATGAACAATTTTTCTCTATCATAAAATAAACACGTTAAAAATATGCAATATATAAAATAAACAGAATAATTTGGAAGTACCTTAGTCGATCTTACTAACAGATTCACGTTAGCAAAATTTCTTAGCAAAATTTGCATGAATAAGGCTAAAAAACGGAAAATTTCTGGCATAATGATACTTTACTTTATTCTACTGCACCTATCAATAATAAAGAATTTAATTATGGAATTAGAGAGGTGGTGAAAAATCAAAGCGTAAGCAAGAAAAGGAGAAAAAACGCTACTCTGTAATATCCTGTCAAACAAATGAATGCATCTACCTTACCCACAATCGTTATTTAACTTTCAAAATCACATTTTCAATACAAAAGGTATAAAATAATAATAATAAAATTTAGGTTAGCAATCATCATGTTCAGTAAAATATTACTGAAGAAATTACGATATTAAGTACCGGTTCTTTGGGTGCATTATCCGTAAAATCTATTTTTGCCGTAAACTATTATATCGTAATTTTTACAATAATGTTTATTTAATTACAGTGATTTAGCTATTTTACGGCAATTATTACTGTAAAAATTACGATACATCAAATTCTTTGTTCCGTAACATGTTCAGTAATTTAATCCGGAATTTCTCACTGTGTGTTTAGGACTGTGTGTTTTGAAGACATTTTTTCTAGTTAAACAAGACACTAGACGTTTTTCTAATGTCGTTAGGCAAATATTTCAAAATTAGAATTAGTGTTACAGTGTCATTAAAAGGCTATGAAATATTAAGTGATATACTAACTTGAAAATTTCTTTTCATTTTTCGATGCACAGTTTTGTTGAATAGCAGATTCGGGACTTTTCATAGATAATCTATTCGGAGTCAAAAAAGCTGCTGATTTTGAAGAAGGAATCGCGTGCACTTCACATTCCTCATAGATGGGATTCTCAAATTGTTGCCCTGAAGAATAAAATCGTGTAATATTTGTATAATGCAGTGAAAAGTATAGATTTTAACTAGTGTGTTGCATTTTTCTTTGCAGAGTCACATTGATTATGTTTCTTTCTTTCTCAACACAATTATTCAATTCCTACAATTAGTTCACACTGTCCCTATATCTTGTTCAAGTTTTCAATCATTAATAAAATACTTATTATTCTTCCACTCAAATTCAAATACACTTTTTTTAAACTTCTCGTGAGCGGCACTTGATGTTAATACAGTTTTTTTCCAAATATTAATTCATTAATTAAGTTTAATTAATTAATTTTAGTTTCATATGCGAGAAAAAATTTTAGAAATTTAATAAAAAAATAGGCATTATTTACAAAAATTTCGTTTAAAATAATTTTTTCTGTCAATAATTTGTTTGTCCCAAGAAAATCTGTCATTTTCCTGGCTACTTTTATTTAGTGGTTTTTAGCCAAAATAGATAGAGCCAGCAATCAATATCTTATGTTAATAGATTTATTAGATACCCTCCTATATGATCATGTCTTGCTGCATGAATAAAGAACCAATTTTCTGGTTCAAAATCTATTTCAAAACATTTTTCCAGATGAGTAGGTTTTGTGTTTGTTCCTGACTTCTTGAAATCATTAATAACATAAACTACATAGATTAATCTGAGTTATTTTAAGAAAGCAGAATGTAATTTCAGCAGAATTTCTGCAGAATGTAAACGTCTTCGGCCAAAATATTAAATTAAAGATAAGTTATATGCTGTAAAATGGCGAATTAGTCATTATCCTGGCTGTCATTTTCCTGGCTTATGAATTCCAGGACATTGAAGTGTTACTAGAAATTTTTTTAACTGCTAGTACTGTAAGGAGGAAAAACAAATATTAACCTAATACCAAGTTTATGTATGATTGTAATATGGTTGGATGTAATCAAAGTTATTTATTTATTTCATGTTTGATTATTATACACAATTTTATTCTGTATATATCAGCAGAAAAAATTTTGATTCTTTCAACAGTGGATAAAAAGAATTAATTTAAGCAATTTGTGGTCCATCTAACATAAAGGCTTAAGTTGAGTTACTTACTATTAACTTAAAATGACTGTTTTTATACTTCTAAGCTAATATGTCATTTTCCTGGCATTTAAGATTTGGTGAATTTCTATTTTATTTTTCTTCTCGAGCAAATGTCAATAAACTACACTGCTCTCTGTAAGATATTAATAAGTGTAACTAAAAAGTATACAAAAAATTTTTTAGATTATTTTGAAGACTTAAAATTTGAAGAAACCTTTTGGTCCGAATTGTCATGTTTAAAAAGAATCACCTATATATGAGCATAAGATTTTAGTTAATGTTTTAAAAAAGCTTTAAAAGTGTTATGGAAATTTTAAAAAAATTGCATTAGCTTGCAAAAAATTATATTTGATTTACCTGAGAATACAGGTAATACTTGTTTTTCATTTCTAGTTGCAGTGCAGCTTTCATCACTTAAGAAATCTGGCAATGCTTGATTTTCAATGACAGTTGCAGTGCTGCTTGCATCACTATTACAAAACCAAGAAGATTTTTATAAATATTAAATTAAACAAAGAGGTGGGGACTTGTGTCAGATTTATGTTCCAAACATTACCAGACACCTCTCTAAGTTATGTAACCAAATACTCTACTACAAAATTCTCAATGGTATGCTGATTCGCTATAATAATCTATTGCTTCTTTTTCAACCGTGCAGTAATCAGAATAAGAAATAGTTTTTTCAAAGCTTCGGGCTTTTCAATGATAAATCTCTTTTCTTTTTTGCATGTTTTTACAAACTCTTTTTTAATGAAATCTCTTTCGCTTAAATCGCTGTTGAACACAATGAAACGAAAACTGATCTGCTTCTGGTGTGACAATCTTTTTGATTCATAGATTCAAAAATCCAAAATCTATGACAGTCAGAATCATAAATTTTTGACCCAGTCATGTCAAGCGTTTTAAACCTTTACTTCATCTTTACTTTAACATTTTCATTTGTTCTTCAATATCATCTTCACTCACAACATTTTCATTGTCTTATTAAGATATTCTACATCTTCATTCATATAAAAGAAATGCCTTATGTCCATTATACCAATGTTTTTTACCCTTAATGAACAATAATAGGTTAATAATAATTTTAATAATTTGAACTTTTTATACCACAATTACTATTGACTTTTAGCAAAACTGGTTGAAAAAACTAAAAAAAAAAATTTGAAAAACTGAGAAATTCCACGTTTTGTATGTCATGGAACCCTACTATCCGAATCAAATGCATTCGTTTTTGTTATAGATACAAATTGAATTTTAAATTTTTGCATTTGTTATCCATGAAAACACTTTTTATGATAGAATTAAGATTTCATAAAGATAGATTTCATGAAGCTTCAAAATCCTGGAAAGAAACCTTTAAACTTGATATTGTATTAGCATGCAAACTAATATTTAAATGTTATATCAGGTCACTAAAATAGTTTGTAAAATTATTTATTTCCTTAGTAATTATTAATGATAAAAGTTTTTAACCGTTATGAAGAAAACGAAATTGTTAACTCACAACTGAATACCAAACTTATGCCGATTTTACACAAAAATGACATTTGGGTTGCCATCTGTTGCCTTTTGAAGATGGGAAATCAATATGAATAAGGACATCAACGAAATAAAAAAAAATTTCTTTCCTGAGAGTTATTACACGGTGCAGATGAGTCGTGGTGTAGGTAAAAATCAGTTCCTATACGCGCGTAGACAAAAACAACAAAAACGAAAATGACGGGGGTGCTACTGAGAAAGCGGGGTAGAATTTTTACGAAAATACTATTCTTGTTCAAGAAATTTTAAATTATAATTTTTTTTCGACATCAAATATGTAAATTTTGCTTTGATATTATTTAAGTTTGGGGTTTAAATAAATACTTGTGACATTCGTGAATACTTTTTTTTTTCTTTTTTTTTTTAGAATCAGTTTTTATGAACAGAAGCCGTTCTTCCCCTTCCTTCTTCCCCTTCGTTCTTCCCCTTCGTTCTTCAATTCTGATAAGATGAAAACAATTCTTTTAATAGAAAAATTCATATGCCAAACAAAAACTAGCAATAAAAGGTGGGAAAGTAAAATTTAGCGTTTAATTCGGTTTCTTTTCTTTCATTTTCTTTTTCTTCACTTGAACTTAGAACTAATGAACTTAAAATGTTACAGTTTTCGATAATGTCTGTATAGAGTTACGTAGTTTGAAACAGCTTAATAAAAAGCTCACAATGGATGGAGAATCTCAAACTTTACAGGTTAGCTCAAAGCTTTATCCCTATAAAAATTTTGACAATATTTTGCATGAAGAGTTTAAGTACATGAAAAAAAGTTAAGAAACAATAGAAAAATCTACATTAATGCTTCTTATGTAAAGCGATATAACGTATGGTAAAGATTGAACAAAATATTTTAAACTATAATTTACCGGGAATAATAATTTCAGGAAATGATGAATAAAAATTAAATCAGTTGAACTCAACTTCGGAAAATCATTTTGATACATTTTTGGCACACTATTTAGGGAAACATTTAGCGTGATATTCTCCTTTGGCACGCTTTTAATCAAAAAAATAATTTATCAGAGTTTGTAACTTTTTTTGATGAAGAATAGGCCTAAAGTTTTAGATTATAAATACAAATCATAAAAAAATCTATTCAGAAATAACCAACATTTATGTTCTCATGGCAAATAATCTTACAAATTAAAAATATGGATCAATTTAATGATGAAACACACTTTACAAACTAATCAGAAAAAAAAGTTTTAGTTTAAGCACTATGGTTTTCATGCACGCAAAAAAAATGTTTCTTTATTCTGTGCTGCACGGTGAAAAAAATTCTGATTAAATTATCGTACTGAACAATAATAATACTTAGGTAAAAACAAAAACTAGAATTCTGGCTAATAAAGCTAAAATGCACGGTTTTTAAACCATTAATGTAATAATTTTCACATTTACAACTTAATCGCTATCGGAAATTGTAGTTTTCAAAATTATAGTTCTTATAGCCTCACCTTTAATAAAAAAATACAAAATTAAAAAGTAAATTTTATCAAATAAATGGTTTTTACCCCATGATCCAAAGTATATTAATAAAATTACCAAATTTTATCATACTATAAAAGCATATTTATTGATAATTTTGCCAAAGTCATTACCAAAATACGACGATAAAACGTACAGCTTTTCGGAGTTCCCCTAGAACCAAAAACACTGTACATTTTATCAAATTCTGGCATTATCGACAATACTTTTTTTAGTGTCAAATCTAGTCTAAAAGCTATAAACTGCGAAAGAAACTATCGGTGAACATCATAAAGGAACAGTTTCATATAAAAAATGCCATTATCGAAAAAAAATGTGGTTTTTAATTATTTAGCACCAAGACCTGCATAAATCGGGAAAAAAAGAACTTACAATTCAATATCTGGATTTCTAATTGGCTTTGAATTAGTAATGCCAATTATCATTACCACAGACCACAATATAAAAATTGCAATCAAAATTGCTGCAACCACCATGATGGGGAAATGTGTCTCGTTTCCATCATTTAAGTTTAAAGTATCTGCAAAAAATCAGACATTGAAAGTTTTAGTCATTACATTAAAGTATCACGTTGATAATTTAAAAAAAGAACACGGTAAGAGCTATATGTACTTTAAGAAAAACTATATCTTGTTTAAAAATCCGTTTTTTAACATGTTGAATTTATTCAATAATTTCTCTACAAGTTCTAAAAAGGGCTTTAAAAAAAAATTTAAAAAAAAAATAAAACTTAAAAAAAAAAACTTTAAAAAAAAATTTAAGACTTTGAATTCTGAAATCAAATATGTATCAAAGTACAAAAGATTATTTAGATATAATTCTTTTAATTGGCATATGTTTAAGAAAAGTACATTTCCTTCAAAATTATCGTATGAAAATAATTGCACTACAATAGAGAACCGATTATCCAAACGCTGAATTACCGGATTGTCTAATTATCCAAATCGTTCAAGTACTATGTGTTTTCCCACTTTCTAAAAATAAATAATAAATAAGTAAATAAATAAAAATAAAAAAAGCTACGATTTGTTTTTCTTCTTATTTTTGGAATATTTGAAAGGGGTCGAAAAATGGAATCTTTTGTCCTTCGGTGACCTTGTATAGTACCACGCATTCTTTCCGCCCAGTTTCAAGGTGATTGACAAGTAGATTCTACTAAGGGTACAGATTTTTAATAATTTTTTTAAAACAATTAAACTTTTAAATACGTCATTTGTAATATACTCTAATAGGCATAACTACAATTGCCAATCCTAAGCTTGGGTAAAGTGTGAATGAAAATTACTTAAAAACATTCTCATAGCCGTTCTTTAAAGTTGTCCAATTACCTGAATTTTTCGTAGTTAAAATCGTGTTTGATCCTGCTTGGTCCGGATAATCAGCTCTCTCTACTTCAAATAATTTGGGAGTTTTAATTGAAAAATATAGAGGAGAAGGAGCTATATTAGATACATTGATTATCTCTTACAAGTTTTTGTTAGTTTACGAACGCATGAGTTATCGATAGAGTTTAATTTTTAACTTTGTAGAATGAAAAATATTTAATGAACTGAAGGCGTGAGGTTAAAGTGTACAAATATATCAATAAACCAACAAAAGAGAATATTTATAATTTAAACAAATTTAATCAGTTAGTTAGAATTATTGCCTCAAGGTTGACTTTCGCTTATTTTATTGCTAACGGAAATATTAAGCTTTTGATTTTCTATAAAAATAAAAATAATTTAAAAAATAGAAACAGTCAAAATACAAAAACAAATTAAAATATTAAATAATAATCACTAGTTGTGCCTTTGGTTCCATTTCCATTTATTAAGCATACACATGAGCTGTTCGGATTCGTATTATTACATGCCTCGTCGTTTGGACAATTATATTGAAAATTACAAACTCCATCAACTCCATCAGAGCAAACTGAAACTAATATTAATTTTTAGAAAATTGTAGAAATTTAGAAACAGTTATAAGACTCTTATAAATCAATATTGAAACACGTTTTATACAAGTCAAGTACATATAAAAACGCTAAACATATATATTATATATTTTCAAAGAAAATTATTTAATTTTAGAATGCTATCTACAAATTAAATAATTTTCTTGCTATCTACAAATTAAAGCATCTGTGTATTTAAAAAAGAAAAATTTGTAATGTTGAATATTATTATTAAATCTAGTATTTAGTGCAAACATTCCAATGACCAAAATATTACAACTGCATAGATATTTGTTCCTCATGAAGGAGGACGAATGGCAAAATATGACCTATAATCCTTAAATTGCAAACTTTTCCGATGCTAAAAACTAATAGGAACTACAGTGTTCACAGTCTTTGCGTTGGTCATCTAGAATTCACTAATGCAATATGAATATACCCTCAATAAAATTTATGATCGTAGGTCATTAAAATTCCCCCATGACAGTATGTAAGTACTCTTTTGCAATATGTAGGTACTATATATGTAAGTACTATGGGTAGGTACTATACGCCTCTCAGAGATATCTTTTTTGATCTTCTATCTTACTAGACTATGTCTTTAATGGAGAAAATAAACGTTATTAATTAGAGAGAATTTGATTTGATTTTTAACCGGCGATGAACAGTTGTTCAATTCCAATTTCACGACTCTCAATGTTCAACTCCGTAACTTTGCTGCAATTTTGAACTGTACCAAGAAGACAAGGGGACTCCTTGATCAAGCGGTGGGACAAATTTTCTTTCGTAGAGGACTTTTTGATAAAGTTAAGTCGCATTATCTTTATATGCATACGAAAACCACCGAACCCTTCCAGGATTTGCCTGACAGCATAGGGATTCAAACCCATGATCCGCCTAATACTGATGATATTTAATGAGATAGTACAGTGTTCGGAGCGAGCTGGAAGCATAAGTCATATCAACCAGCCATCGCTTGTATTCAAATCTGAGTTTTCTCCCTAACCGGTAAATGCTCTATCCCCTTAGCAGCAGCAACTTGGTTAGATTTCCACTTTGCATACATGCGGAAACATTTCTTCAATCGAAACAAATATTTAATTTTTTCTCTCTAAGAATAAAACATTGGGACACGTAAGAATAAAATGTTCCTTTATCCTTTCCTGTCTTTATCTCGTTTTTCAATATTTATGTAATCTTTTATCTATCCTTTTTATAATCTTTCCTTTATAATCCTTCGCTGAATGATGCAGAAAAATGACCGATTTTCTAAGTAAAAGCGTTAATTTAAATTGCGGAAAATCAATTGAATGGTTTAATTAAGCAGTATTGATGCATTTTTCTTTGCTTTAATTTCATAAATGCCACACAAATTCGCTACGAATCTGAAACAAAAACTATCAATAATGACTAACGTTATGATTCAGATATTGGCCAATTAAGCTTTCAATATGATAAAAAATCAAATAAACTGTTTAAGAACTGAGTTTTTAAAATTGAAGAGAAAAAAATTTTATTTTTGTCCTACCTAACATTGATATAAGACATTCTTTTCGAAAATTCTAATGGATCAAAGTCGAAAGAAATGGGAAACTTTTTTGTCCTCATAGAAGTTTTTCACAAAAATAATGTACTCTACTATTCTCTTTCCAGTTCTAATTCCAACTGTAATTTGAGAACTCCCGTTAGCTGGAAAATACTCAACTACTGACAATTTCAAAGAGAAGATAATATAGTGATAAATAGCGATCAGATAACGATTTTAACTTGCATTTTTATCAAGCACAAATCAAGTTAGAGTATCTCAGTTAGTCAGTCAGAAAGTCTTCGGATTTCTGATTAATGTTAAATTATATTAAGTGATAAAAATGCATTAAATTTTAATTTCCAGAGGCCAAAAATATGTTGAAACTTTCTTTGTCAGCTAGCTAGGGCCTTCAATTTAGTTTTGAGAACTCTATCTAATAGGAAATTGATTGACATTTTTGGTCGCACTCTTACTCACTCGAAGGAATAAAAGCGTAAGTAAGAAGAATTTTTGCTGTAAAATTAATCTCATTTAGGCAAAATATTTATAATAGTGACGACTAATGCTAAAATTCAAATCTTGATTAAAGAAACTCTCTTGAAAAGAAGTTTTGTCATTAAAAAGAAAAGTCATACGAACGTCTGAAGCAATTCGATTCAAGCTCTTCTTGCAAACATAAGCATTCTCCTGTTTCTGGATCACATGAACTATTATTTGGACATTCACATTCCTTGAGGCAGCCTTTTCCCCACCTATTAGCTGGGCATTCTAAAATGTTAATAAAATAAACCGTAAAAACCAAAAAATTGATATGGGTAATTTATGTTTAAAAAGTTTTTTCCGGACTTAAATGCAAGAATTCGCAACATTACGCTAACTCAAAGAGATACTTTGTTTAAGACTGATTGGCAAAAAGATTGAGAACAGCTATCAAACTAGAGAAGAGAGCACATGGTTTTTTAGAGCACTGGATGTTGGTTGATAACATGGTGCGCTAGTAAGAATATTTTGGCCTCGTTTATTTAGCTTAAATATTATTCTTCAAGTACTAAGTGACGTCTTCTATTGAGTTGGCTGGCGTGATGATCCTTCAGATGAATATGCTGAATTGAGTGCAATGGAAAATCAGCAACGCAATAAACAGATAGGCATTATTTATAATTATTTTTGTTGCGCAATTAACAAATACTTAAAAATATAAATTTTTAACAAAATTTAAAGAAAAAAGCTAAAAAGTGTTTGAAATAATAAATGTTCTATTACCAAGACAACATCATAAAAGTATTAGGAAATAATTATAAATGCAAACAATTATTTCACTAAATAGTTTTTTAATTAGAGCATTTTACATTTTAATTTTTTCTATTTTCCCCCATAGTTTTTATTTAAAATCTACAGGAGGGCATGAGAAATATTGCGAAATAATTACAAATAATTGTTTCAAGAATGATACACGTAAGAAAAATATTACAAAATATTTACATAATATATCTTCTTGTAAACACTACGTCCGTACGAAACACAATATTAATTTGCAAGTAAAAATAATTAGAACTAAGAGCTGGGTTTCGTTTTAGAAATGCGCCAAGTTGTTCTAAACTACAGTGCAATTTCCTTTAATATAATTTATTGTAATACTAAATTCAATTAATTCTATATTACATTCGAGGAGGAAATTCTAACTTACATGCATTTAAACTGAACAGTATCATATTTCTATATGATATCTAAAATGTTAGACTTAACATAGTAGGCAATTGACACTGGAATCTTTGTCGAACACAATATCTAACAACACAATCGAAACAGAATAATTGATATTTTCGCTTGAAAACGTTGAATTACTGAAGGTAGGGTTTTAGAATAAAGCATTTCAGATATGTTGAAAACCAATCATAACCTTTCATAGAGTATCACACAGATATTAAATAAAATCATCAGTTGCCAAAACTTGTTCGAGAATTTTGAGCGTTTTATATAAATAATGAAATACAAGGAACTCTTCCATATTTATAAATGTACATTCTTGAATTAGAAAATTAAAGTACTTTCGAAATAAAAATAAAAGCTATTTACAATCAAATATTTTTTAATATAAATATGTATTGAAAAAAAAATCTATTAATATTTTTTTAAACTATTTGCATCTTCTTCTTCTTAGGCACTAAAGCCAGTTACCGGCCAAGGCCGTCTCAGTCACTTTACCCCATCTAGATTTTTTCGATAATATATTCCTCCATCTATTAACTCCCAAGTCCTGTAACCAGTTCTCTACTCTACGTAACCATCTTGTTCCAGGTCTTCCTCTTTTTCTTTTTGCCTCTGGTGCTTCGAAGGTTGTTTCTTTTAACTTGATTTTCATCACTATGTCGAAGTAATACATGTCCTAGTCACCTTATTTGAGAAACCTTGATCATTTTTGCTAAACTAGGTTCCTTGTATTTTGATGGCAATTCATGATTGTAACGAATTTCCCTGGTTTCGTTTTCTTTTACTGCACAAAAAAAAAATTCTTAATATTTTTTCTCTGTTATATAATAGAAATAATATAAGAAAATGGAATATATCCCGTTTTCTATTTACATCTAGTGAATAAAATTATTTAAATTCCTCTTGAATACTAAATAAAAAAAATTTTGATATTAACTTTTACTATTTAAACATATTTTGTTTGGATTGCATAAAAATATATTAAATTGAAGCGTTAACGTATTGTCAAAAAGATATCATTTGTTGAAGATTAATGTGCCTTTTTTTGACGTTGTGTACATAGAAAGGTTAAGATTGACTTGTGTTGTACAGTATGTTTAAATATTCATTTTCAATAATAATAAAAATTTGATGTAATCAACTGGGTAAAAGTTAAAATTAATTTATTTAGTAGACAAATAAGCAAAATATTGAAATATGTAGTTTAGTTTTTATATTGATTGCAAATATTTGTTTACAATTTTACAATATATTTAAATATATTTTGAACCTGCAATGAAAAATTATCAAAAGGTTTGCAGTGTAAAATATAGAGTAATGTTTTGCCATGACAATTATTTATATTTTATGCCCTACTGTCTATTTATATTTTATTAAAACGAATGTCCTGAAATCATACAATAATATTAATTAATTATCAAATAATATGTTTTTCATTATCATTTTCTTCAGTATAATTGTTCTTTTTTTTGAAGTTATTTGTTTATTTTGTCTCTGAATAAAGTTATTTTGTATTTAAAAAAAAACTTATTATTTTACTCTTTTTATCACTGTGAATTTTTTAGAACATTTTATCTTATTTAATGTATTTTAGTAATAAAGCAAATATTTAATTATCGATGCAGAAAAGGTAATATGCGGTATAAATGTAATGAGATGATGGTATGATAATGAAAACTTTATTTAATTTTCTTAGATGAATATGGAGTGAAAAACAGATAAAACAATTGCAGCTGTTGGGGAACAAAGTTGACTATGCAATTAATGGCATTTAATTGCATCAATACTGCTGAGTGAAAAACTTAAATCTCTACTAAAATGTGCCACAATATAAAACATTATTGGCCCTTAAATCTAAGTGTAACAGATTCAATGCCCATTCTGAAATTTATTGCTGAGATAAGAAGCAATAAATATAAAACTGAAGCCTTTTTAAGATGTAGTGATCTTTAAGAAGTCAATTTTATAAAGCTGTTAATATTAAAAGCAGTGTAGTCTTTTGTTTGAATTAATAAATACTAATTCTGAAATAAAAAGTTTTATTAGTTATGAAGCTATTTTATCATGTGCACTAGCCATACAGGAGATAGGATGCAAACAAGAGTCACTAATTGAAAAACCGAAATATATAAATAAAACAAACGATTGAAACACCGTTTTGTTTTAAATATTGTATTAAATTTAATATGATAATTTTATTTGTGATTAAAAATGTTGCAAAAAAGTGATGATCCAAATTCCCAGTAGTGAGAAATTTGTTGTTTTGCAATTGCTTAGTATGAGGTTGAGGTAATGCTATTGCTACATGAGGTTAGCTACATTGTTCAAGTTGAACACATCTAAATTGAAATAGATTAAAAGTGATTAAGACTGGGTTGAAGAAAAGTATATGAGGGTAGTTTAATATTAAAAGGAAGTATCCATATCGTTTGAAAAGTAAAAAACTCTGATATTTTTTTAAATATTATTAAAAATGAAAGTTTTGTTCCCAAAATGTAATAAAAATATAAATTTAATATTCATTCTTGTTTCACTTCAGAAGTCATTTTGTTTTAGCTATTTTACACAAGAATATTATTTTTTCAGAAAATTTGAGACATTCATTGCAAGGAATATGTTTCAGGAGTAAAATGGTATTAAGTTGATAAAGTTTGCGTGAATAGTGACTAAAATATGATTATAATTAGAAATAAATGAATTCCTTGACAATTTCTTCTCAAATTTTTAATTTATCATCAAAAATGAAATTGCTGTCCACTAATAACAAATTTAGAGGAAATACTTTTTCAGTAGGTATTAACAACTGACAAAATTCAGCTTTCCCCAAATTTGTTCCGATAAAAGATCTTTATTCAATGGGCTACACTGTAAAAAACTCCAGATCAAATTACGGTATAAAGTACCAACTCTTTAAATGCATGATCCGTAAAATTCATTTTTACAGTAATTTTTATAGTAATACTTTTTTTAAAGTGATTAAGACTGGGTTAAAGAAAAGCAATTCATTAGCATCAAAGCAGTGAATTAGTTAAGTTGGTTCAGTGATTTTACGGAAATTTTTACAGTTAAGTACATGAAATTTTTTGCTCCGCAACATTTTCCGGTAAAAATCGAATTTGCGGTGAAAAGTACAGGCACTCTGAGTAGCCGGTTCTTATTTCTGCAATTTAATCCGGAAAATTTCGCAGAGTAGTTGGAAAGTGTGATGAGAAACAAAGGACGATCATATTAAACAGAATTTGTTGACTGTATTCTTTGCACACATTATCTGTCTTGGTAAGTTTAATGCATGTAAATAAACCGTCCATCGAATCGTTTAGGCTAACCCTAAATTTAGACATAAAAATTAACTGAACTAATGCAATATATATTTTCTTACTTTGAGTGCATTTTGATCCATACCATCCTGCAAGGCAGTTGCAATCTCCAGTCACGTGATTGCATCCAGATGCGTCTTCATTAAAAGTCACATTATATCCACAGTCACATGCATTTTCACAGCGAATACCCCAAAAACCTGCATCACATTTCTTTTCACACTTCTTTCCTGTATATTAATAATTAATGAACTTATCATTAAACCAATCCTATCTGGCAAATAGAGCTGTCTATGGGCTGAGAAGATTTTTTAAATCTAGGTTTCCTTCTAGAAAAACAAAGTTCTCAATTTACAAAGCTCTTGTCAGGCCAGTCTTGACATATGCTTCTGGACAATGACAAAACTGGAGAAAAATTGTATCGCAATATTTGAGAGAAAGATTTTGCGGGAAAATACTTGGTGGTGAAAATGAAGGCAATAACTGGAGAAGGAGATTTAACTTTGAACTGTACAAGATTTATAAAAAACTCAATATTATTAAATACATAAAAATAAATAGAATGGCTCACTTTAGTCGATTGAGTAATGACAATACAATAAAAAAGATATTGCTTTTAGACCTACTGGAGCAAGAAAACGGGGAAAGTCGCGGTTGAGATGGGCTGACTCTGTGGAGTCTGATTTTCTTACAATTAATGAAAAGAAATGGAGATCAAAGATAAATCGGAAGTCCTTATGGATAAATCTTCAGAGGAGGGCATTGGCCCACATTGGGCTGTCTGACCAACCATGAAGATGAACCTGATATTTTTCGAAACTAATATTGTTAGTATTGGAATTTACATTTTAAATAACTTAATAAAAATATTTAATGAGATTTAATTTGTAACCTGCATTATTTACTGTTGAAATAATTATTAATTTTGAATATTGAGGTAGGAAGAAGAAATTATGAATTATATTAAATTATTATCAAAATTTAACGAATGCTGTTACGAAATATCATAAAAAGGAAGACCTTAGAGTAAGAATGTGTAAAAGTTTGAGAAAGTGACAAATTGTTATGCATTTAAGTAATCGGGAGGCTTTTGCAAAACAGCTTTAAAAATTACTTTAATACAAGGTCCCGACAATGTTTGGCGAAGCATTTTCGGTCACCAATTAAGGAAATGTAAACATTCCTGATGGTAACTTCGAGGACAATATAATTCTGATGATAAAGTGAAGGTTATAACAATGAAAGACTACAATAGCTACCCTCTCTTTGTGATAATTCATTTTTACTGCGCAATCAGAAGGATTGTGAGAAGTAATAGTTTATCTTTAATCTTACGCTAGTGGTCTTGGTAAATTAACTTACTACCAATTTCATTTTCTTAAAATTTTAAATGTCCACAGCAAAGTATTTCATTTTTGTGGCAATTTTTTTTATTTTATTTATGTACGGAAGTTATTGCCAGGTGCTATGACTAAAGTTATAAAAGATCGTCGCTTTGAAACTAAACCGTAGTAACTCAAAAAAAATCGAAAAATGAGATATTTGGGTCATTTTGTGTAAAAAAATCACCCTTTTAGAGAAACAACGTGTTATCTTAATAGTTCCATAAAATTAATTTAGAGGGCAGATAAATCGTTATCGCTTTGGCGCGATTCGCCATCTTGGTTTTAGGGAATAGTGTAGCAGTGTGCCAGTTGCAACAAAACATTTGAGGAGATAACGTCGCTTTGAAACTAAACCGTGGTAACTCAAAAAAGCAAGTTTTTCAGGAGAGCGATTTTTTTCCTACACAAATGTCAAAATTTGAAAGGAAATATTTAATATTCGGGAGGATATTTTGAAGAACAACGTTGTATTTCGAAATACCTCTCCACTTTCAATAAAAGTTTTAAAGAAAAGTGTTGCAACTCAAAGTACCTTTACTTATTTCGAAATTACCACAAAATTAGAAATGCTGCAAGAATCAGGCCTGGTTCAATGAAAAATGTTTAAAAAAAGCAGGGTTTTTTTAATGTAAACTATTTTGCAACAGTCGCCATAGTTTCGAGTCAACCTGCGGTGGAAGTTCCTGAAAAGTTAGAAATCGCTCTCCTGAGAAACTTGCTTTTTTGAGTTACCACGGTTTAGTTTCAAAGCGACGAGATGTAAAAAAAATGTAAAATAGATAACCATGGTCACTTAAAAATAGATGAAGTTAGTAGTGAAAATACTAATCATGGCATAAGGGTTATTGTTGAAAACTGGAATGTTATTAAAAGTCGCTTAATATGATTTTCCTTTAAGAGTTTTCAAATAATATTCTTAAATTATATATTCGTAATGAATGTTGGGATTGTTAAAAACATTATTAATTTGATCTGTATCAGGTACATTATTACTCATTCAAATAAGTGAATGCAGATGCTTAACATGTACCAGTTACGAATGGAAGAGGATCCGATGGAAGAGGTTTTCTCAATTTTCAGAACTATTTCGTCGTGAAATCATAAGGTATGTAACAAAACGGGAACTCTCAAATTTCTGACGAAAATGCCTCATCCACTTGAAATCTCATCTTAATGCATTGAGAGAAGTGCCAGGAGGAACCCGGTTTCAATCTCCCTTCGGGCATAGGTGGAATTTATCTCTTTGATTTAGGTACCTTTCTTGTGTTGTTAGGGAGACATTGACTCGGTTGTATATTGAAAACCAATATGCCGAAGTGATTATTAGATACATTAGGCATACGTTAGGCACTACTCTTTTATTGGAAAAATAATAGATTAACGAAATATGTTTCCTCGTAGAAGTGACAATAGTTATTTTATCTCTTTGACGAAATGCTCTCTCGGAGCATATATCAAAAAACGGTTTCGTCAAAAACGAAGAAAGTTTGGTGAAATTTGAGTATACCATTTTTTATTGTATAAATTCAAATTTGTCTGCGACTAGTACGCAGTCAGACAGAGATTATTACTGTAAAAACTTAGTTTAATTTAACATACATATAACAAAAATAGTAGTTTTAAAGTCCTTAAAAATTTTACACTAACTTTTCGTTGTTGAATTTTAAATAAAATTTTAATGGAATAAGTAATGAATACATTTAAAAGTTATGCAGTTAAACCTATTATCAAGTAACGGATAAAAATCTTTACTTTTAGTCACTTGTGGTGCTCTCTAAATACAGCTTTTTAATTTTTATTTAAAACAAGCTCAGAGCTTAAAAAGTAACGAGGTTAAAAAGGAGTTTCAGCAATTTTCTCCCATTTGTTTGCTTTTTAAAAGGAAAAAGAAAATTTATCTTAAGTACCCGCTGCCGTGCTGGAGGGTTTCTACTACCATGCCTAGCCTGAAAAATTATGTCAAATTATTTTTAAAAATAGGAAATTATATTTCAAGTAGATGAGTATTTGAATACACGTTCCAGTTTGTAAAAGTGTAATTTTAAAATCGATTTTAATGCTTACATATTAATCCTTCTTTGAAGCTTGCTTGAATGCTTACATATTAATCTTTACATATTAATCTCTTGAAATAGCGTGTAAACTGTATAAAATGTACAATGAAATGCTGAAGAGAAAGTTATTTACATTTCAATTTCTTTCTCAGTCTTTAAAATCGTTAAATGTCATGCATTAATTATGGGGAAGGTGATTGGGCATAAAACAATTGTGGAAATTCTGTAGCATAATTTAATTTGAATACCACTCAAGAAAATTTATATATAAAACAAATGCTTGCAATTTTGCAAAATATTTATAATTGGTTGAGCTTTGATATTTTATAATGGTCTCATGAGTAATAAAATTTCTATGTATTAAAGTGGTGAAAAATATTTGTTTCTCACCTTTGTAACCAGGTAAACAATTACAGTTACCATTTAAGTGATTGCAAAATTCAGTACTATTTTTCTCACATGTACAGTTATTTTGACAGTCCTTTCCATAAGTTTCATCCTATAAAGTAAATTTGGGAATAAATTAGAAATAATTTATATTTAATAAATAATAAAGTTATTATTTATCTTTTACATAAGGAGGAATAACCTGAAACCCCTGTAATGTTAATCATCTAAGCTCTCACTCTCTCTCTCAAAATTCAATTTCTTCTGTAGAGCAAGAGTATTGATAAGTTTTAATATATGATCAGGTGAACGGAGCTGGAATTTTTTGAATATATATAT